TTTGGGGTGAAAAAATCCAAGAGTGGTTGTTGACAAGGTTTACACTCACCATGAGTCACTGTTTGGTGTGGTCTTTGGAATGGTGGAGTGATTGGCCCTTACTTCTTCGAAGATGACGGTGAACATGCTGTTACTGTGAATGGTCTTCGATACCGACGACTGTTACAAGATTTTTTTGTGGCATGAACTGAACAATATTGATGGCCAAGATATTTGGTTTCAACAGGATGGAGCAACCTGTCACACATCACGAGACGCAATCCAGTTATTGGAGCAGAAATTTAATGGTAAAGTTATCTCCAGGAACGGACCTGTTAACTGGCCAGTTCGTCCGTGCGATTTGACACCGTTGGACTTCTTCCTTTGGAGCTATCTTAAGGTAAAATCTACAGGAACAATCCCCAAACGATTGAAGCATTGAAAGAGGAATAACCCGTGTAATCGCTGAGATATGACCGTGTCATCGAGAATTTTAACAAAGAATGACCATTTGCAAGTTAGCACGGGGCGGTCATTAGCAAGATATCATCTTCCACACATAATTTTCTTAAATTGCCATACATGTATCTTTCATTATAAATATTCAGGATGTCCGCAAAGTTGGGGTTTTCCTTTTCAGAAACAACTACCCTTGAAATAACAAAGGTAATGTGTAGTGAAACGAGGGCGACCAAGTAAAAAAAATAAAGGAAAAAGTACTCACTCTCCAGTTGACGAGAAGGGCTAAGTACGTCTCTGCCCGAAATCATACCGCTCCAACAGAAAATGAAATCAGCTGATGCGCTACCGAGCAGACGCAGGCGGTGGTGCAGACCACGAACAGAGGTAACAAATATGACGGCGTTGCCGCGTTTTCAGTTTTTAGGTAAACGTACTTTATAGGTATTGTTCGAAGTTATCGCCGTTTGATTCAAAAACACAGGTGCGTGCACGACGTAGCCAAGCATCGGTGCAGGCTTTGAGAATGAGTCGCTCCCCGAAGAAAGCAGCAGCTTGTTCAATTCTGAGACGAAGTTCGTCAACCGTATGCACTTCAGTTTTGTACACTAAGCGTTTCATTTCTCCCCAAACAAAAAAATCACATGGTGTTAAGTCTGGAGATCGCGGAGGCCACGCTACGGGTCCATTACGTCCGATCCACCTATTCGGAAATAATTCATTCAAAACTCACGCACTTCGCGTCTAAATGGGGCGGTGCACCATCGTGCAGAACCACATTGATTGTCTTACACTTAATGGCACATCTTCTAACAAGGAAGGCAAAATGTTGCGTAAAAGTCTAGGTATTGCATCCCGTCCAATCGATTTGGGAGAATAAATGGTCCAATGAGCATACCGTTCACCATGCCAGCCCAAACATTCACCGAAAATGTTTGTTGAAAATGTGCCCGACGGACAGCGTGCGGATTTTCTACTGACCAAACATGAGTGTTGCGAAAGTTATTCACCCCATTACGCGTGAATGTAGATTCGTCTGTCACCAATATGCACTTCAAAAAGTCCGGATTATTGTCATGTTGATGCAACAACCACTCACAAAACCGCACTCTTGCTGGAAAATCGTCAGGTTGAAGGGCTTGTACGCGTTGGACGTGAAACGGATACAGCCCCTCTTCACGCAGCGTTCGCCACACTTTAGTTTTTGATACTTGCACTTCTCTAGCCACGTCTCTAGTGCTTATTGAGGGATTCTCGTCTACGCGATTACCTCTACACGCGTGACCGTAACCGTCGGTTGAAGGTTGCATACTGACCTGACACACTGACCCCGACCCAGTTCTGTCGTCGGGTTGAGCCAGTGACCTTGTACCACTCGGTGATGTCGCGAGTCGCGGCTACAGGACGGTATTCAGATATTTTTGATGTTGCAGAGCCCTTTATCTCGGTTCCCTTAAGACATTGGTGTATATGGTAGTAAGAAAAATTATGTTTTCAAGATCTACACGTCGTGTAAAGGAAAACTCCAACTTTGCGGCCACCCTGTATAAATTAATGAAATACAAAAACGAAAAACTGAAACAAATAACAGTAGCAAAATAAAATGCGATTCTTAATAAGTATAAAACAAAAAATAACGATAGTAAGCTAAAAAACAATAAATTTTCAATACTTATAAAAAATAAAAACAGTAGTAAAACAAAAAAAAACTATTCCACATAATTATAAAAAACAAATAAAAAACACTAAATAAAAAGCATTTTTTTTTTAATTAAACGGAACTGTTTTTCATTTTACTACTGTTTTTACTTTTTGTTTTTTGTCGTCATTTAGAATAGCTTTTTATTTTACTGTTTGTAATTTTTTGTTTTTTATAATTCCATGGTATTGTTTTTTTTACTGTACCACTGTTTTTATTTTTGATTTTCATAATTATTTAAAATTTATTGTGTTTTAGCTTACTACTGTTATTTTTTGTTTTATACTTATTAAGAACCGCTTTTTATTTGGCTATTGTTGTTTGCTCCAGTTTTTCCTTTTTGTGTTTCATTGATTAATATAAATATATATTGATTTTCCACTTTTCAGTTTCCCTAAATGCGGAGCCCAATCCGGCAACACCGCAGGCAAGCGCCTCTCATATATGACATATGCACAGTCGTCAACGTCGTCATGTGGCAGACAGCGGTGTAAATAATGCTGGAAATAACTGCTAAAAATACGTGTTTTGGAAAAGATGCATGAAAAGCGGGCTTCATCCACACTTTTTTTATTTAAAATAATCTATCAGACTACCCTCTAGAACTTTCAAGTGAAAAAGCAGTGAAATCAGAAGTTCTACAAGACGCAACAGTACCACTTAAAGAAGGTGATCGCCTGGTAAATACATACTTGTAAGCATAAGTGGTTAGTCGTCCAACAGTACATATGCTTGTTTTCGCGCAGAAATATATCTCAACGTCGCATTGTTATATTATTATTCCTTATATGTCAAATAAATTTATTGCTTTATCCGTAAAATGCTGGGAATATAAATTAAAACTTACCGCTTTGAGAGAATTGGCTTTCAGCGAGGCCGTTTTCCTATATGTTTTGGTGAGATAGTGAGCAAATCGTTCGTTTTCCGTCTCCTTGGCTCCTAATTGCATGAACTCGCCTTGGACTAGATCCGTTACTACCTGCAAGAAAAAAAAGTTGGAAATCAGTCACTTTAAAACTGCAAAAAAAAATATATCCACCATTTACGAAAACTGCATAATTTAGATTCAAATAGAAATTTAAAAAATAATTTAATCATAATATAGATGGCACTCGCGGTACTAATACATATTTATGTTTTACGAATATCAACACCTAATCGCAATTCACCAATAGTTGGAACTACCTTCAGTTTTACTATTACAGTATAGATGGCGCTCATAGTACGCAAATACGTCAAATGAGTCCCGACACCTATAGTCAACGCCAAACAAAGTGGCGTGCACGTCATCACGATAAAAATTCCCCGACCTAATGCCTAGGTTTCTATCACAAAACAATTGCTCTATTGCAGTTTCATATTAATGTGATATATAAATTGTAAAATGGTCATTACTCTCTTATTATGGTTAATAGTCATATAAACATTGTTATTAAAATATCACATAAGTTGCTTTCTGATAAATTTAGACGCATTATGCGAAATAAAATGTTTTGCAAACGCTCCAATCACTTATCGACATGTAAACGCACTAAACCGATTTCGCAGCGTTGACACATTGTCACCTTGAAACTTATTTAAACTGGGAACTGACATTTGTATTAATTTTGACACTGAATCAATTTGTGGCATTTCAAATCTTTATAAATCCTTTGGCCCCGCATACTGTAAATCAACAACTGTTTGTTTCAAAACAAAATTATTCATTTTACGAGTAGATAAAGGCAATTTGGTATATAAAGATGCCCAAACAGTTAAATAGTCGGTGTAAGGAACTCGTGGCCTCGTTAATGCACTACTTTGAGCAAGAAAGGGACAACAACGGGCCTTTGTTGCCTTTAATGCTGTTCAAGAGGTAGGTTACTAATAATTATATGTAATGTATATTAATAATAGTGAAATTTTATTTCATTTTTTGTAGCGTGTTGCTGCTGCTTTAAAAATTAGTTTAAGGACAGTTAGTCGTATTTCCGAGGGTGTGAAAAGTGATGCAAATTTAGAATCGCCCAAGAAAAAGCGGAGTTATATTAAACGTGTAACCAACACAGCGACATTGAATACAAGTGCCATTCGAGAAGTGATCTATAATATGTATCACAAAAGTAAGATCTTATTATAATAACTTATCAGAAATTTGCATTAATTTGTTAACTAAATTATAATGTCATATTACACATCGTTTCAGAAGAACAAGTTACGATACAAACTTTATGGTCTCGATTAAGAGATAGGGCATTATTTGATGGTAGTGCTACGTCTTTAAGGCGGTTGCTTAGAGATCTTGGATTTAAGTGGCTTAAGGACAATCCGCGACGAGGGCTCATGGAACTACCAAGTATAGCTTTGAAAAGGGTGGAATTTCTAAGGCAATACAATCAAGCCAAGGTTGAGGCCTTATACCAGTTTGTCTTCCTCGATGAAACTTGGATATTTCAAAATGGGACCATAGGTCGCTCTTGGCAAAATGGAGACCAAAAAAGCGTGAAAGCTATTAAAACAGATGGTAAAAGGTATGTACTTTTACACAATTTGCACTATAAAATTTAAAACTAATATATTTTAGATACATTATATTACATGCTGGAAATAAAAATGGGTTTATTGAGGGTAGTGAAGCGATATTTTCTTCGAAAATAAAATTGAGCGATTACCATGGAGAGATGAACCAGGACAATTTTTGAAATGGTTTCAACATCAGTTATTAGAAAAATTGGAGAGTCCATCTATGATTATACTGGATAACGCCCCTTATCACAGCATGATATTGAACAAAGTGCCCAACAATGCATGGACAAAAAAAAATATCCAAGACTGGTTGACAAATCAAAACATACCATTTTTAAACACAATGTTTAAACAGCTATTGAGTATTGTTGCTCGGTACATAATGCTTCTTAATTATATATATTTGGTCGACAGTTTATATTTCTTTTGTTTATTCCTATTCTTAAAATAACTGCTTTTTTAGAAACAAACCACCTAAAATATACGTGATTGATGAATTGGCGGAACAACATGGGCACAAAGTTCTTCGTCTGCCTCCTTACCATTGTATATTTAACCCTATTGAGTTAATTTGGGGCATAGCAAAAGGTTACTATAACAGACATATTGGTAGAGATGGTAACAGTGAAAAAGACTGTTTGGATATGTGGAACGAGGCTCTACAAACGGTTACCCCAGACATGTGGAAAAATAGTGTTCGACATACTGAGCAAGAAATTTTTAAATGGTATGAAAGAGAACGAATTTTGATCGACCAGACATCGAACCTTTAATAATCAACTTTGAGAGTGATGAAGATTCAGATTCAGACAGCGCTGAAGAAAGAAACTCCGACTAACTTTATTGTACAGAAAAAGCTTACACCAGTAGCTTACCTAATTTTAGAATGCATTTTTCTGTATGAATTCTGTAAAATAAATACCATGCATAAAATATGGAGGACCCCATTTGGATTTTTATTCAGTACCTTTAAGCTATCAATTAAATATGGTAGTTTCATAGTGTCATCTGATCAATAATTGTCATACTTAATGATTATGCAAGTACAGATCTATAATTTTATTATACTATTATTTTTGTTCTCATTTGAGGTTAATATTGCTTATAAACCTAGATATGTAAATAATAAATTTTATTATTTTACAAAAGTTTGGCAACAATGTAAATTTTTCAACACACCCACCTTGATGACGTGCGCGCCACTTTGTTTGGCGTTGACTATATTTATACTCACCGCCGATATAAAAAAAAATTACCATGCTAGTGTGATCGACATGGTTTTTGGAGATTTTTAAGAAACTATTTCTGCGTCTCAAATTACTTAATGGCCGTATCGTGGTACTGTTGCGCCTTGTAGAACTTCGGATTTCACTGTTTTTTCACTTAGAACTTATAGAGTGTAATCTGATAGATTATTTTAAAACAAAAAAAGTGTGAATGAAGCACGCTTTTATCATTTTTTTTCCCAAAACAGCATCTTTAGTAGCTATTTCCCCTATTATTTTCACCGGCATCTGCCATATGTGATGTCTGTGCATATGTCATATGAGAGGTGCTTGCCTGCGATGTTGCCGGATTGGGCTTCGCATTTAGGAAAAAATATGAAAACTGAAAAAATTTATATACATATATTAATGACACAAAATAAAGAAAAAGAACCAAAAAAAAATAAAACAACACAGCAGTAAATTAAAAAAGTATTAAGGAAATAATTATAGAAAAAGAAATAGTGCATTATGGGGTGGTAGTGAAATATATTTTTGAACACATACATAGGTAGGTATGAGAAGTGATCATTCACCACCTCACAGTTCCTGCTTCAAAGCTGGGTATCAAGGATCAAGGTACAGGCTTGCCACCCTTTCTCGTTCTTATATTCTTAAGCACTTGAGTGCTGATGGTTCCCCACCAATACGACTACTACTACTTCATAATGCACAATTTTTTTCCCATAATTATTAGGAACCCCTTTTTCATTTATCACTGAGTTATTTTTGTTTTTTGTTCCTTTTTCGTTATTTTATTTCATTAATATATACAGGGTGACTTTGAAGTTGAGTCATTAATTTTCAGATAATGATTGTAGAAGGAAGATAAACCAAAATATGTGTGTAAAAATAAAAAAAAATTAAAAAAAAATTTTTACCTTGTTTTATAAAGTATCCTCCCGACAAGTATTTCAGTGCGGACCTGTATTTGATCGTGAGGTCCCCTGTGAGGTCTTAAGTCACCTGATTCACGAGCCCGTTGTACTACATTAACAAAGGCACGAGGGGTTGGTTGCACTCGATTGGGAAACCGATCCGCATAAACATGTGCCATTTTTTATTTCGTTTGAGCCACGCAACAGACACTATTCACACGCTAACCGACAGACACTGACTGTATGTATAACTGAACTGAATAAAATACTTAATTGCAAAAACATCGTTCCAAATTCTTTCGCTTTTTTGTTTCCGATGCGATGAACCGGTAAGGCGGATTATATCCGTTGTTGTCAAACACGAGTACATGATATTATTATTGAGACAGGGCGGTACTCAAACTTCCAAAGGGCTATAACTTTGTTACTTCAAATTTACCAGAAAAATGGTAAAGGAAAAAAGCATTTCTTTTGATCAGATCTACTCACTGTTAAAATAAATGACTCAACTTCGAAGTCACCCTGTATATATATATATATATATATATAGATTTTCCACTTTTCATATTTTTCTCTAAATGCTGAGCCAATCCGGCAACACCGCAGGCAAGCGCCTCTCTTATGACATATGCACAGATGTCATAGGGCAGGTTGAAATAATGGTGGAAATAGCTGCTAAAAATACAGTTTTTTGGGAAAAAATTCTCATGAAAAGCGTCCTTCATCCACACTTTTTTGTTTTAAAATAATCTATCAGACTACCCTATATAAGTTTCAAGTGAAAAAACAGTGAAATCAGAAGTTCTACAAGACGCAACAGTACCCCGTATCGTTAGTCGTCCCTACAATAATTCCAGGACGCCTTTGTAGCCTCCTTGATTTTCATAGTTTTCTACTGTCTACGTGTCAGCGCTCTATTTTGAGGTTATGTCACGAATATCTATTTGCATCGAATTGTGCATGCTTTTGGTTTGTATTATCTGTCACATTATCCTGAAATTTCTTACAAATCAAAAAGAAAACGTAGCCTCACATGAGAGAGCGCTGATGCTGACGCGGCACAGTAAAAATCTAGAAATAGCCCAGCCTATCTGAAGGGAGAAAAGGAGTCCATAAAGGCGTCCTACAATAAATTGTACGAACGACTGTCGATATGGCCCTAAGTGTAGAGTTTCGTTCACTTGTAACAAATGAAGATTAAAATGCTGATTTTACATTAAAAAAAATAACTTCTAAAAATAATTATTGCGTCTGCATGCACTAAATGAAAGAGCTGTTAGCAAGTACAAAATGAATCTGTAGCGTACAAAAAACCAAAACAAAATACGGCTCTGACGTTGACGGATCCGTCAGAATTATGTGTCCTGTGCCGATATGGGGAATTTTGAGATATTACCAGATAATTAGATGTCATTGATACTCATGAAATAGGGTATAGATGGCACCTGTCGCGGCAAAACTTGACAGCTGTTGTCACCAAAAATTACAATACCTTTGATAACAAGTAATTATGGTCTCCTAGTACACCAGAAAATGTCGCTAAACAATTTTTCTGATTTTATTGTCAATAAATTTTGTAAGCTACGTATGCAGAATAATATGTTGCTCATGAAATAGTCTTGTCAAATACCGTAAAAAAAATCGAAAAAACAATGCAAAGTAATATTTTTTTAACAAAAAACATTCGTGCAGGTGCAAAAATCCTCGGACCCTTGTTGCCACCAGCACTCATGCTTCTTGTTAAGATATTACTTAGCAAAGTGATTTATCGATTTTTTTCAGAAAAATTAGATGTCTTTATGATATTACTTATGATAAATTATGGTATTTAGATCACAAGTCAGATGACTATTTTTTGCTCAGTTCAGCTGGAGGTGCAAAAAACTTATTTTTCTACTGCGTATTGAGAAACTTTAAAAACTTAGGAACAATTATAAAAGTTCGTCTACAATATCCCAAAAACCCGTTTATTGGCCAAATCATATACAAAGATCATGAATTGGTTCTGTTTTTAGCAATTGGGACATACTCGACGTTAATGCACTTAGACTTATACTGTCTATTTCTGACTGCTGTTTATACTGAAGGTATTAATCAGTCTTAAATCATACTATTAATCAGATATATGATTCATTAGTAACTATATAAGATTCGGTTCACATACAAGAGCAGATACAACACTCTCCAAGTAAATTACATAATACATAGAGCGTCTGAATATGAAAGCAGGGTGACATAATCAGATTCTTAATGGAGAGACGCGATCAGAATATATTATTGATGTAGCAGGATGGTGATACGATCATAAATATAAAAATAGCACCGAAAATCCCATCTTTCAAACGTCCATGTACAAACGTGGAAAATTGAAGAATCACGTGACTATAGTTATCGATGCAATGCCACCTTGCTATCTCGCAAACTCTAGATTTGCCATCTCCATATTCAAGATAGCCAACGATATTTTTCATTCATTTCGGCGTCGAAAAAGGTATCTAAAAGATCCTAGCGCCATCTAGGATATAGTAACAAATACAAAATCAATTTAGAAATCTAATTTGCAAAGAGTTAAGAACGTTTGGTTCAGCTGATGTTCCATAGATGGCGTTAGGATCTCTCATATCCCCTTTTGGGCGCCATATAACAGTATAAGTAATGTCAGAACTGCGATCAGAGTTTCAAAATTTGCTTTCTTCTTTTTTGGTACTACAGAAATGTAGACCAAAAAACCAACTTTGTTAAAACGATTAACTTACCTGACTTAGTACTAAGGTAACATCGTTATTTCTTATTCTAGAAATCATCATGGAAGCTACTGCTAGGATGAAATCACCCGCCATCGTAACCTGTAATCAGACAAAAAAGAAAAACGTTAGTCCAAACTCATAGTGATGACTTTGCAATCATTGGCTTTCGCAACAATTATTCCTAATTCGAATATAATCGAATCTCTACGAATAAATGTCAAGGCAGTATAAACGTAGTATTTATCACCTGTTGATATATTGCTTGCACTAAGAATCATCGGCATGGGTATCATGTAAAAACCCTATAAAACGTAAAAAAAAAAACCTATAAGATGTCATCTTGCAAACTAGGTAGTTTTTAGGGCGCAAACAGACTTTCCACGTTTGCTCACTAGGATCGTTGTCAACGTCCATCTAAGGAGGAATCACTCAACTAAACTACACGCATTATTGGTTGCATATGTTTTGTGGTCTGTAGTTTTTATCTCTGAGAAGAAAGCATCTGGATGATTATGTGTATTGGTCTGCTTGTGTATAAAATCAGTGATATTTGAGAAAGTCATTCCTGAATATGCTGCCAATGAAGTATATTTGTTGGCTGGCCCGACGGGTTATTTTTATGTTATGCTTTCTGATGAGAGGTTATGTTCAAAGTTATCAATTACAAAAAACTGAGGAGAATTACGGGAAATCATCACCGCGCCCGCGTTGTGTGTAATTACTTTTAGCATGTATATGGCCTGTAATTCGACAGTTTACACTGAATATAATTATTTCTTATCTCTCTCATTTTTGAAATTCAGCAAATTTGTAAGTATATGTAATTTCCAGAACGGATAAGAAAAAGTGGATGGGCAACTAATTTCTAGCTTTGAATCTCAATTAAGTGTATTTGAGACAAGAACCCAATGTAATTATCATTAACACGTACAACTTACAGCTTTATGGCCTTCTTGACTGTCATACTCTTTTCTCTTCTTCAAAAATTTCTAGATTACACTCGTCCCGTGTCAGCGTCAGCGTTCTCCTATTGTTAAGATATGTTTTCCTTTTAAATTGTAGGAAATTTCAGGCTGATAAAACATGATAAAACACAAAAGCAAGCACAATTTGATGCAAATAGATGTTTGTGACATAACCTCAAAATAGAGCGCTGACACGGAGAAGTAGAAAACACCTCATGACGCTTAGGCAACACGTACAACTAAGTGCTAAGTTAATATCTTGTAGAAAAGCCTACATAATGTCAAAAAAACCAGCATAATGTCAAAAAAAAGATACGTGATACCTGTGCTGGACATCGCAAATCATACAAACAAAATTTGGATATGTTCCTGAATTTTATCTTTTTTAAACATAGCTTCACCGCCACCAGTTCAATTTCCAAGAGTTTTTCGTCATCGGATAAGCGGAAACCTTGCGTTAAAATTTCAGATTTTATCATGATCCCAGTGGTACTTTCCGAGTGTATGATTCCCAGATAGACAGACGATAGACAAACAGACCGACAGACCTAGATAACTGGCAACTATGTCAAATAAACCGACTAATTGGTCAAATAAGCAATTTGAGGTTAGAAAAAATTGGATTTCAAGCAAATATTTCCCCTTTGCTACAGAAATTAGTCGTGTAATATTCCGCGTAGAGCCCCAAAAGTGAAATAGCTATGCGTCTTGGGAATAATTTCTGTTTTGATAAAGCGGAGAGCACCTGCAAAAAGTGTGATTTATAACTTGATGAAAACCGAAGTTTTTCTCAAAACATGTAAGTTATCACAGCTATTTAACTCCTGCACGAAACATTATACGATTTATTTTTGTAATAAAAGAAAAATGCCTGCTTGATATTAAATTTTTTCTAACCTCATTTGCTGCTGCTGCTTTTTTGAATAATCGTCGGTGTATATACCATATTTCACGAGTATGCACCACGGTAGAATGACAGTTAATTATCTAGTAATATCTCAAAATTCCCCATATCGGCATAGGACACACAATTCTGACGGATCCGTCAATGTCAGGTTGACAGAGCCATATTTTGTTTTGTTTCTTTGTACGTCACAGATTCATTTTGTACTTGCCAAAAGTTCTTTTACTTAGAAACAGGGTATATTTGAAATGGATGCCTAACCTTAAAGGGATTCTACATGCTATAGCGCTTTAGTCTCATTATTTTACATATCTTTATTCACGTACTTTGGGTAAATGAATACCGTTATTTTTAACAAAGATAGCAGTGCAATGCCAGTAACAACTTTGCAGTCATACTATCAGAAATCGAAAAAAGGCAAATTGGCGGTTTTTCCGATTTTGATTTCCATACAGTAGCACCTCTATTTGGCATGCAAGACGTCGATAGAGTCACTTGTGACGCAAATAATCGCCGGCAATATCGAAAAGAAATACCAACGTGTACATACGAAAAGAATTGTTAATCAATCTGTGAATTCCTGTGTATATGCGTCTCTTATATTATTCAAATCTGATGATGGAACACCATGAGCGGAATTTACTTTACATTTTATTTAATGGAATACTTTTGATAGTGAGATATACGAGGGACTCGAAAATAAATCCACTAAGCCATGAAAAAACAATTGAAACGCAAAAGCATAATGTCACATAGTGTAATGAGGTATAACCTCACTTTTAAAATTTCAGTTAATTTTGATAATCAGTTTCCAGTTTATAAAATTTTTGCACTTAAATATTTTAGAACATATGTACTTTAAATATTTTTCTTTTTATTTTAGTACTTCATCGTTCTTCAAAAGCACAAAGTTCGCAATTTTTGCGTCATTGTCCAAATTCACTCATATTAGAATATTTAACATAGTATTTTTATATGAGCGAATGCTCGCAGCACTTTCTACTTCAAATCTGTAATACAGTTTACTCAGACACAAAACATATAAAAAAATAAAAGTGTTGCTGCATCGTGCTTCCATTAAATCAAAAGTTGGAGACTAATTATAACTGTGTATTGATTTGCTTCAACTTTTATTTTTAATTCTGACTTTAATTTTTATATATAGTCTGTGTCTTATAAAGATAGTAAGTTAAATATCAGCGTATGGACGAATTTTTGGGAAAAATGCGAAAATTAAAGAAAAAGAAGTGTTTTGAAAAATTTTTAAATACAAAAATTTCATAGATGCAAAATGCGATCGCCTTAAAATTTGATTTATCCTCAGTCTCGAAAACCCTGCTTATAGACCTTGACCACTTCATCTATCGAGTCAGCAGCATACGTACTTATCTATAATTTCTTGAACCAATATTTTATCCTTCGATCACCGCGGATAATTTCTCTTATAAACATACATTATACATAGGCTAAATACCAGTTTTTGCGAAATACCGCCATTCAGATGTATCGTCATTTATAAGAGGGAAAATAGTGTGTCAAGGTGTAAGCTCGTCGTCTACGCCTCAACATTACTGAGCTATTATCTTTAATCCATCTACATATCTGTTTGCCGTTAAAGAATCGTGAGGATGCCTCTAGCTATTCATAACACACTTTGGTATACAGAAATTCCTTGATCGGTACGAGATTTTGTGAATCGTGTAACTTTCGAATCGAAATTACCGGGTCTCACAGTAGTCTATCAATGCGAAAACTTAAAAAACTCAGTACTGAAAATCAACAAAAAATATTACCTATTTTAAAGTTGGACAATAAGTTGGATATTGAATTGAAATTGAAAAAATAATTTAATTATAATATAGAGATGGCACTCACGGTAGGAACTAATACATATTTATGTTTTACGAATATCAACACCTAATCGCAATTCACCAGCAGTTTAACCCTTTAGTTTAACTATTACAGTACAGATGGCGCTCATCGTACGCTTACTACATCAACTGCATAATTTAGATTCAAATAGAAATTTAAAAAATAACTTAATTATAATATACTCGTAGATGGCACTCACATATTTATGTTTTAAGAGTAACAATCCTAATCGCAATTCACCAATAGTTGGAACTACCTTTAGTTTTACTATTACAGTACAGATGGCGCTCATAGTACGCAAATACATCAAATGAGTGCCGACACTTATTTATGCTCACCGTACTACTACCATACATTGTCGATATAAAAAAAAAACTGGCCATGCTAGTGTGATCGACATGGTTTTTGGAGATTTTTAAGAAACGATTTCTTTAGTGATGTTAATCAGCGTCTCAAATTACTTAATGGCCGTGCCTACAATAATTCCAGGACGTCTTTATGGCCTCCTTGATTTTCATAGTTTTCCACTGCTCCGTGTCAGCGTGCTATTTTGAGGTTATGTCACAAATATCTATTTGCATCAAATTGTTCATGCTTTTGATTCATACCAGCCTGAAACTTCACAATATGAGAGCGCTGACGCTGACACGGAACAGGTGGAATCTAGGAATACCCCAGACTTTCTGAAGGAGAAAAAATACTATGACAATCAAGAAGGCCATACAGGCGTCCTACATTTGTAGAACGACTGACGGTATGGCCCTTAATGACAACATTGGGAAGTTTCTGTATCATCCGTCGGGTTGTGTGTTGAAAATATTTGGGCATCTGAATATGGATCATGGTAAAGAGAGTACGAAGCTTCATTTGATGTCATCATTGTTGTACACCATGAATCGAACTGATTGCTATTTCTAGCTTCACTTGTTTAGAGTAGTTTTTGATAAGGTTTAGCCCTTTGTATTATTTGGAATAAGTAATGTGTGTGAACCTTGATGCTGATGCTTGATGCCAAATGCAATCTAGTGTTAATTTTTGCTAACGTATTTCACGAGTATCCATCACGCTTTGACGTCTACTGACGTGAACAATTACAGCTTCATTCGTTTTACACACAATCTCACTTCAGCTTGTGATGTTTATTACTTGTCATTTTTACCAAACCTCAGTTCAACTAACCTCAACTGAGTGAGATTTGGGCTTGCAAGCAACGTTTAGGTTAACTTGATTTTGTTTACGCCCAAAATCCACTTCAAATTCTGAGATTTTTAACTTTGATTACAATTATATTTTTGCCGTGGTCAGCAAACTGCAAAAATGTCGAGTCCACGATAAATTAGATAAAATTTAATTTTTAAGGTTATGTTCGAATTTAGAAATAAATTGTCAGAAAAAGTGACGAATTTCTTTGGGTAAGAGGTACGAAATTACTTTTTTACTATTAAAGATACAAAAACGAAATTTGAGGGTTGCGTGTTATAGATGAATTCACATTTTTTGACATATTCACTTGCTTAGACGTACTTGCGGTTTGACCGGAAACGACTCAACCTTCGATGTTTAAATCGGACAGCCTATATATTTTTACTTATTTCGATCTAGAATGACATTCTGAACTTAACAACGCCTCACTTGTCAATATTTGACAAAGTCATTTTTCTTACAATTTTTATTTTTCGATCTAGAATGCCATGGATCCTGATACGCTTCATTTTTTATCAAGTATTACTGGAAAAATACGATTTTAATGATTTTGATGTTTTCAAATAAAAAAGGGGTGGCTCGTCGGCTTTTTCCGCTTTCTTACGAATAAATAATTTGACATTACACAGTCTTATTTTATTGACGTTGGCGATAAAGTTATTGGCATTTTCTAATGGTTCATTTCTGTTCCAGTTTCAAAAAATAATGAAAAGTGGGTTGGCAGCGATTGGGGAATCACTGAGAAAAAATTCGAGCTGCCTCAGTTGCATTTTCTCGTCAAATGCCAAAACATAACCTAAGAACCTAACCAATAAAAGACGACAGTATACTCACATATTGACTGTTTCTTTTAAAATATTAATTCCTAAACTAAAACCAACGCGCCAACCCAAACTGTAAGTATTATAATTTTAATCTCACAAAACGCGAACGCGTCAAATAACGAAGGTTGGTAGACAAAATAACTAAAAGTAACTAGAATTACCGAAAAATTGACGGAAAATTAGAACAAGCTCTAATCTGGCAATTTATTTATAAATTTATTGATGTGAAGAAAGCGACAGCAATTTTTATTTTTACACGGTCCAACTTCTTCAAGAAAAAAAAATTATTGGAACGTGTAAAGCGGCTATTGATTTGAATTTGTCCCTGAACTGACCTTGAAACGGTCTTCACAGATGCTCTCATGGTGACAAACTAACATCACATTTGAAGTCATCGACCTAAAAAAGCCCTGTTGTACTAAAAATCATATAAATTGTATTTTTTGTCAGTTCTAGGTGTTCTAGAGTCTAGACCACTGTGGGTCTGCATAAAAATTATAGTAGACTATTCTGGATTTTGGTATGAGAATAGACTAATTCTACTGCTCTTATAATACAGGGTGTCCGCAAAGTTGGGGTTTTCCTTTTCAGAAACAACTACCCTTGAAATAACAAAGGTAATGTGTAGTGAAACGAGGGCGACCAAGTAAAAAAAAATAAAGGAAAAAGTACTCACTCTCCAGTTGACAAGAAGGGCTAAGTACGTCACTGCCCGAAATCATACCGCTCCAACAGAAAATGAAATCAGCTGATGAGCTACCGGCGGTGGTGCAGACCACGAACAGAGGTAACAAATATGACCATCGTGCAGAAACCACATTGATTGTCTTACACTTAATGGCACATCTTCTAACAAGGAAGGCAAAATGTTGCGTAAAAAGTCTAGGTATTGCATCCCGTCCAATCGATTTGGGAGAATAAATGGTCCAATGAGCATACCGTTCACCAGGCCAGCCCAAACATTCACCGAAAATGTTTGTTGAAAATGTGCCCGACGGACAGCGTGCGGATTTTCTACTAACCAAACATGAGTGTTGCGAAAGTTATTCAACCCATTACGCGTGAACGTAGATTCGTCTGTCACCAATATGCACTTCAAAAAGTCCGGATTCTTGTCATGTTGATGCAACAACCACTCACAAAACCGCACTCTTGCTGGAAAATCGTCAGGTTGAAGGGCTTGTACACTTTGGACGTGAAACGGATACAACCCCTCTTCACGCAGCGTTTGCCACACTTTAGTTTTTGATACTTGCACTTCTCTAGACACGTCTCTAGTGCTTGTTGTTTTTTGAAACGCAATCGATTATACGGGTTCGTTTACCTCTACAGGCGTGACCGTAACCGTCGGTTGAAGGTTGCATACTGACCTGACACACTGACCCCGACCCAGTTCTGTCGTCGGGTTGAGCTAGTGTCCTAGTACCAGTCGGGGATGTCGCGAGTCGCGGCTACAGGACGGTATTCAGATATTTTTGATGTTGCAGAGCCCTTTATCTCGGTTCCCTTAAGACATTGGTGTATATGGTACTAAGAAAAATTGCTTATGTTTTCAAGATCTACACGTCGTGTAAAGGAAAACCCCAACTTTGCGGACACCCTGTATATTGTAACCATTCTCTAGCTACTGTATCCCATATTGTCAGTTTGCCATGCTACTAAGTGTTTTAAAACAAACCTTTTTATGGTTCCACTTGACGTTGACACTGGGTTTTCCTCTCCTGAAGTCTGACTGGTCTATGACGTCATCGTGCACCAGCGACGCGGTGTGGATCATTTCCGAAATCATCGCCACCTCTCTTTGGGATTTCATAAGACCACTGAAACAGACATTTCATACAAAATAATGGAAAAAATACGGCGTCAAGTAGGTGAACTCTGCACCTTCCGCAAAACGCTGCCATCAGTTCATAAAGGAGTATGTTCGGTACAAGTTAGCCCCTCTAAGAAAAAAGCTGCTACAAAAAAAGTAGTGTCGAGTAGGTTGACTCTGTATTTCTCACGAGTCAACTTTTGTACGCTCTGGTATCTTGATTGTTTGAGGGCTATGATCCTTGTACCTTGGTATAAGGCCGTAGGGTAGGATAAATATTAGTGAGAAGAATGGCGTCAAGTAGGTTGCCTCTGTACTTCTCACGCAACGCTTTCATCAGTTCACAAAGCATTATGTTCAGTATAATGTTAGCCCCTCTAAGAAAAAAGGCTGCTAACAAAAAAAGTGTCAAGTAGGTTGACTCGGTATTTCTCATCAGCCAACTTTTGTATGCTCTGGTATCTTTATTGTTTGATCCTTGAACCCTGGCATAAGGGCGTAGAGTAGGATGAATATTAGTGAAAAAAATGGCGTCAAGTGGGTTGACTCTGTATTTCTAAAGGATCAACTTTTGTACGCTCTGGTATCTTGATTGTTTGAGGGCTATGATCCTTGTACCTTGGTATAAGGCCGTCGGGTAGGATGAATATTAGTGAGAAGAATGGCGTCAAGTAGGTTGCCTCTGTACTTCTCACGCAACGCTTTCATCAGTTCATAAAGGATTATGTTCAATATAACGTTAGCCCCTCTAAGAAAAAAGGTTGCTAACAAAAAAAGTGTCCAGTAGGTTGACTCGGTATTTCTCATGAGTCAACTTTTGTATGCTCTGGTATCTTGATTGTTTGAGGGCTATGATCCTTGTACCCTGGTATAAGGCCGTATGGTAGGATGAATATTAGTGAGAAGAATGGCGTCAAGTAGGTTGCTTCTGTATTTCTCACGCAACGCTTTCATCAGTTCATAAAGGATTATGTTCAGTACACTGTTAGCCCCTCTAAGAAAAAAGGCTGCTAACAAAAAAAGTGTCAAGTAGGTTGACTCGGTATTTCCCATGAGTCAACTTTTGAATGCTCTGGTATCTTTATTGTTTGATCCTTATACCCGGGCATAAGCGCGTACAGTAGGATGAATATTATTGAGAAAAATGGCGTCAAGTAGGTTGACTCTGTATTTCTAAAGGATCCACTTTTGTACGCTCTGGTATCTTGATTGTTTGAGGGCTATGATCCTTGTACCTTGGTATAAGGCCGTAGGGTAGGATGATATTAGCGAAAAAAATGGCGTCAAGTAGGTTGACTATGTACTTCTCACGCAACGCTTTCATCAGTTCATAAAGGATTATGTTCAGTACAACGTTAACCCCTCCAAGAAAAAAGGCTGCTAACAAAAAAAGTGTCAAGTAGGTTGACTCGGTATTTCTCATGAGCCAACTTTTGTATGCTCTGGTATCTTTATTGTTTGATCCTTGAACCCTGGCATAAGGGCGTAGAGTAGGATGAATATTTGAGAGAAAAATGGCGTCAAGTAGGTTGACTCTGTATTTCTAAAGGATCAACTTTTGTACGCTCTGGTATCTTGTTTGTTTGAGGGCTATGATCCTTGTATAAGGCTACGGCCGGGTAGGATGAATATTAGTGAGAAGAATGGCGTCAAGTAGGTTGCCTCTGTACTTCTCACGCAACGCTTTCATCAGTTCATAAAGGATTATGTTCAGTATAACGTTAGCCCCTCTAAGAAAAAAGGCTGCTAACAAAAAAAGTGTCAAGTAGGTTGACTCGGTATTTCTCATGAGTCAACTTTTGTATGCTCTGGTATCGTTATTGTTTGATCCTTGTACCCTGGCATAAGAGCGTAGAGTAGGATGAATATTAGTGAGAAACATGGCGTCAAGTAGGTTGACTCTGTATTTCTAAAGGATCAACTTTTGTACGCTCTGGTATCTTGTTTGTTTGAGGGCTATGATCCTTGTGCCCTGGCATAAGGCCGTAGGGTAGGATGAATATTAGCGAAAAAAATGGCGTCAAGTAGGTTGACTATGTACTTCTCCCGCAACGCTTTCATCAGTTCATAAAGGATTATGTTCAGTACAACGTTAGCCCCTCCAAAAAAAAAGGCTGCTAACAAAAAAAAGTGTCAAGTAGGTTGACTCGGTATTTCTCATGAGACTTTTGTTACCTTTATTGTTTGATCCTTGTACCCTGGCATAAGGGCGTAGAGTAGGATGAATATTAGTGAGAAAAATGGCCTTGAGTAGGTTGACTCTGTATTTCTAAAGGATCAACTGGTTAAGACTAAAAGATGTTAATGTTCTTACATGGCCTTCGCAATCCCCGGACCTAAACCCTATTGAACATCTCCGGGAGCACGCTAAAAGACAACTGACAAGAAAAACTTTGAAAAATAGGAATGATTTATTTGATTATGTTACAAATATTTGGTAAAATATCCCAACAGACGTCTGTAAAAAAAATGGTGTCTTCTATGAGCAGCAGATGTCAGGCAATGTTGAATGCTAAAGGCTATGCTAACAGTATTTTTGTAATCTTTTTGTTTTTGTATTTAATTTTGTAATAAAAAATACGTTTCCATACTTTTGTCGTCTTATTTTTGGTCATAAAATAATATGAAGGTATTTTAATGCTAGTCTGTAGTATCACAGCAAACACAAATTGTAATTTGTATCCTCAAGACTGTAAGCAAACTATATGAGAAAAAAATAGTCCTTAATAATAAAGAATAAGAAATTAGCGCACTTTTTAAAAATTACTAAGAATGTTTCCAAACTTTTGTCCGCTACTGTAGCCAGATTTTAGTTTTCTCCAAATATCTAATTTTTACAAGTTTCCAACGGCATGTAAACACGCCCCAAAGAACGAAAACTTTTCATAATTTAAATTGAGCTGTATTGACAGCCCCATGCATAAGATCTTTATCATATATGAATCTGATTGGAACAAGTTTGTATGTAATAGACATAAGAGATGTTATGAGCTGTTATCGAAATGTTTAACCGAAATTCAAAAATTCCCGCGAACCACAATTCTTCCGTTGATTACGCGCAGGAAGTGCTGACATTAATATTTAAAAATTTGATAATCCCAAAAAATTATTCCTAATAGCGTTATTTTATGCAAAATAGATCGCCATTTAGGTTTGACTAATCCGCTATAAGATTTTTACATCGTGGCTAGATTACGAATATGTGAATGTAGACTTGTAGGAAAAAGATTTGAAATTCGTGAATACGAAATATGAACATTCAAGGCCTTTAAAATTAACGTAACAGAAAATTCGAATGTGTTGCCTAAACCGTTTAAAATAATATTAATTTAGTATTCGGGTATCCTCGAATTAACAGTTGGTACATTGCCGCAGGTGTGCGCTGCGATTTAGGCAACGATAAGCCTGCAAAATCGCAGTTACTTCCTTGCTTTGTGTTTAATTACTACCCATTAGACTTATATGGTTCATAATTCTTTCATAAATGTATTATCTTCGCTTGATAATTAGAATAGATTTCTTTTCAAAAATGTATACAACGTCCGGGTTATAGTCAGTAAATTGAAAAAAATGGCACCCAGTGGATTTACCCCTTATTTTACACAATTTTAAAATATAAGCGAAATCCCCAATTCAACGTTTTTTGATGTTGTATAACAAGTGCATTGAGACAAGTCAAGTCACTCAATTTTGTGAGATTCTCTGGTGAAATTTTGACATACACTAGCGGACAAAAGTTTGGAAACATTATTGGTAATTTTTAAAAAGTGCGCTAATTTTTTATTCTTCATTATTAAGGACTTTTTTTCTTATGTAGTTTGCTTACAGTATTGAGGATACAAATGACAACTTGTGTTTGCTGTGGTAATACAGACAAGCATTAAAATACCTTCGTCCAAAATGAGACGTCAAAAGTTTGGAAACATATTTTTTATTACAAAATTCAATACAACAACTCTGCAAAAAGATTAAAAAAGCTAATATATGGTAGCATAGATTTTAGCACTCAACACTGCTTGACATCTGCTGCCCTTAGAAGACACCATTTTTTTTCAGACGTCTGTTGGGATACTTTGAAAAATATTTTTTACATAATCAAATAAATCGTTCATATTTTTTAAAGTTTTTCTTGTCAGTTGTCTTTTAACATGTTCCCAGAGATGTTCTATAGGGTTTAGGTCCGGGGATTGCGAAGGCCATGTAAGAACATTAACATTTTTTAGTCTTAACCAGTCCTTTATTTGTGTTGAGTTGTGCTTGGGCTCATTATCTTGCGGGAATGTCCATCGTAAAGGCAATTTCTTCTTCAGCAAATGGGAGCATGTGTTTATTAAGAATATCTCTGTAAAGTTTTTGATCCATTTTCCCAACAATTTTTACAATTGGATCCGTTCTAGAACTAGAAAAACAGCCCCAAACCTGTTGATGTTGCCTCCACCGTGCTTAACTGTTGGCAACTTATACTTTTTGTCGAATCTTTTTCGTATTGGACGCCTGACCATGGGCGCCCATTTGGGGGGCCGAGGGGGGCATATGTTGATCCGTATTCTTGATATTTACTAATAATTTTCGAAATCGTCCCTTTGCTCATTTTTAATCTTTGAGGAATGTCAATATTTCTGACACCACGTCTAAATAATTGAATTACTTTGCCTCTTAAATATTTTGAAAATTCTTTTATTTTTTACATGATGTTAATACGAGTATTTACCGCACGCAACATAAGAGTATCGTGTATGAAATGTTTCCATACTTTTTGTCGTTACAAAAATTTAAAAAAACGCGCGTTTTTATTTTCAGAATAATGATAAGATACACCTTGTATCAGTACAGAAGCCAAAGGTAGATTTTAATATTTATATAATAATAATAATAATGATATTTATTCACTCAATGTACAAAGATAACAAAAATATGAGTAAATAAATATAAAATCAAAACAGGCCCAATAGAAGGCATCGCCTGTACATGGACCAATAAATTTAAGTTGAAACTGTAGAATGCAAATGACAAAAAACGACAAAAATTAGCTACAGTAGATTATGTATTTAGTTGATGTTCGTATTTATGAGTTTATGAATTTCAGTCCTAGATATAGAATGTAGCCACTTTTTTAAATTTCTTTTGAAACAATTTCCGAAACGTAAATCTTTTAAGTCTTTAGGTATAATTTCGTAAAATTTAGGCGCTAAATAGAGATATGATCGCTGCATTATAGATTTATGCGGTTGAGGAACTACTGTGCCACGAATTTTGTACCTGGTATAATGATTATGTTTAATTTTTTGGTCGGTGTTTACAAATTTATGGTAGTGAGTGATACTGTGTAAGAAATAAAGCTGTCTTATATCATACATTCGAACATCTGCGTATAATTTTTCAGTGGGATAAAGTTTCGGTTTTTTAAATATCATTTTTAGAATACTTTTTTGAAAAACATCTAAATCAGTGCATGGTATAATGTTCGAAGATATTTTTCTGTCAATATATTCCCAAGGTATTTAATTTTGTTTTTTTAAATATCATTTTTAGAATACTTTTTTGAAAAACATATAAATTATAGATATGTGAGGAACATGCAGCTTCCCATGCTAATATACCATATGTGAGATGAGGCTCAATCAGTGCATGGTATAATGTTCGAAGATATTTTTTTGTCAATATATTCCCAAGGTATTTAATTTTGTAGGATACAAATCTAACTTTCTTTAAAATATAATTGACATGGATGTCCCATCGTAAGTGAGGATCCAAGACCACTCCAAGGTATTTTATGTTGGGCACTCTATTAATTTGCATTTTTTGATCATTAATATTGAAGGAGAAATTTGTGTAATTTGGCAGATGTCTAGCATAAGATCCAAATGGTAAAAAATGTGTTTTAGAGTAGTTAATGCTTAATTTTCTACTGTTAAACCACCGAATAATTTTGATAAAATCATTTTCAATTACATTTTTCAGATCAGACCAGTCAGTGCCTTCATATAATATTGCAGTATCATCTGCAAAACTAGTTATTTTGCCAACACAATTAATTTGGAAAATATCATTTAAATATATATTGAATAACAGCGGACCTAAGACAGTTCCTTGTGGGGACACCACACTTAATATACATTTCTTTACTAAATGATCCTGATATCTGCACAGATTAATAAATGACTTTATTGAATAAAAAAAATAATCTTTTACAAAGGTAATTTAGAAAAAAAATACAGATTGCAATGCACTACAATGAAGCGGCATAGTTAATTTTTTTAAATATCTTACATTTATATCATGAACAGAAAGCGTTCTCTTATAGAATCAGGTGAACCTGGAGTGTTTATAATTTTTAATAAAAAAACTAGAAAAATGGAGAGTGCGACGCTCATTTATTTTAAGCCGTTTAATTTCTTTATACAAATGAGATGTATGATCAAACCTACGCAGACCATAGATAAACCTGAGGTACGCATTTTGCACCTTCTGAATCCGACCCCTACTTGCCTGATCTAAGCAAAACCCATAGACAGAATCGCAATAATTGAAATTGGAAAGAATTAGGGATTCACACAATTTTTTTTTTAGTGATCTGTTATTATACAAAACTTTTACAGAACAAAATGATGTTGCCTAAGATTTTTCAGGTGATCTTTAAATCTAAGCTGAGAATCTAAAACTATACCGAGATTTTTTGTACTTTCAACAAAATTCAATTTTGAATTATTAGCCACTATATTGAGATTAGCTTTCAAGAACTCAGTCTTAGATTTGTTACGAAAAATCATTACATGCGATTTTTCCGGATTAAGTTTTAAGTTGTGACCTAATGGGAGATTGTTCAAGGTGTTAATGTCCTCATTTATACAATTTTCGTAATATTTGTAATCCTCAATATCAAAAAAACAATGTGTGTGTCATCCGCGAAGGCCTGAACTTTACAAAACTTTAAAGACGTAAGGATATCAGATGTATAAATTAAAAATAACAACGGGCCCAATATTGATCCCTGAAGAACTCCCGATCGGATCTCCGCTTTGCCTGAGAATGTGTCATTCTTATAGAATCGATTGATACATTCGTGTCAAATATGATTTTAAAAGCAAACATGCTTCCTCATTAAAGCCATAGTACTGAAGTTTAGCTACCAACAATTCATGATTAATGGTATCAAAAGCTTTTGAAAAGTCTAGAAGTACCAAAACTGAACTCATCTTTTTATCATTTGCTCTTAATATGTCATCGAGTACGTTTGTTAGAGCCACTGTTGTACCAATTTTTTTACGAAAACCACACTGAGTACCAGGAATAATATTGTTACTCATACAAAAGTCATAAATTTGTTCGTACACCACTCTTTCAAATATCTTTGATTGATAAAGTATATTTATCACACGAAGTTCGTTAAACTGATGGATTAGTTATTTTTGGTAATGGTTTTCCTATGCAGATTTTCCACTTGTCGGCAAAGTAGCTTGTTTCAATGGAACAGTTTATAGTATGTGTTATATACTTATCTATGTACGGACTACAATATTTTAACATTAAGGCTTTTATCTGTTATTTCATAATTTTAATTTAGGTATATGAAATAATAGTTCATAACAATGTTAATGTTAAGCTTTTGTCCGATACTGTATACAACTCTACAAAATTGGGATCTACGTATTAGCGGACAAGAATTTGTTTAAACAAAAACAAAGGAACAAACGCTTTGGAGACTAATCATTTACGTCAAAAATAAAAATAACGAAAAATGTGAGTTTTAGAAAATCGGGATATTTGAGAGATTTCGAAAGTACCCGTACATGAAAATGCTACTAAATATTATTTTTTAATATCAATCACAAAAGATGGACAGTTCCGAGATCCAATCGGTGTACTGATGATGCTTAAATGATAGTATTCCATGGGAGTACAGAGTTGACCTAGTTGATATCATCTTTACCCTAATCCAATACAGTACAATTTTCATTTAGTAAAAATAAACTATGGAAACTTACCCATTTTCTTTGCATATATGATAATTGATAGCCTCTGGCCATTAATATAGTGACCATTGGTCTAACTGCCTTCCCGTGTCCATCGAAATAATACGTCGCTATCTCGTACAGACTATCTTGATAGGTATTCCGTCGTAATGCCTGAATCATACATCTTTCTAAAAGAAACCGCCTTTTATTTTCCATCGTGTTAAGCATTAAAAATGATGGCACGACTAACACAGGTCTACTTCGCAAATAGTAGTTTCCGAGATGTTTAGAAATATCGGTCTTACTATTGTTAACTGCTCCTTATCGATTTTACTATCAGCGAATCTCAGTTGGCCGTGACGCGATGACAGCGTGAGATACTCAGTAGTTTGCGGATTTCCTCCATGGCCAACTGATATTATCTTGTGGGAAAAGCCTTATGCGTGATTTAAGCATAGGAAAAATCAATATTTCCAACTATCTAATTAGCTTCTTCGGTCCATCTCCTCCCAAATTCTTTTCTACTTTTCTCTGCCTGGCGCTATATTAGCCGTCAAGGTCCCGCGAGCTTGTTTATATCATGTAACTATCTTATTTGGGGTATTCCTCTACTTCGTTTATGTTCCCAGGTTCTCCAATTTATAACAATTTTATCCCGTCTGACGTCTTTTTGTCTTATATTGTGACCGGCGACGATATTTCCATTTGTTACAAAATTAACCATATTTTAAATACTTAATACAAGATTTAAAAAGTCTTGAATTCTATACCAAGTGACATATAAATCCGAACACCCAGTTTAATGGTTTTATTTTAATAAAAGTCGGAGAATTGTATTTATCTTACTGTAAATAACAAGTGAAAAAATTTTCAGCCTTATCAGTTGGACATTCCGGTTTTTATACTGTTTTTTTTTAATTCACTAACGCTCTAAAATGAATATTTCAGCCGCAGTAAAGAATCAACGTTGGCGGATTTTGGTTCTTGACATCCTTTACGATCGGTTACGATGCCTAGAGTACGGAGACCTGTACGATTTCGTCAAACTTAGTGAGTTTGATAGGGGCCGTATAGTGGCACTTCGGGAAGCTGGACTTTCTTTTCGGGCAATTGCAGTTAGAGTGCAAAGAAGTGTAGGACACTGTGGTTAGGGTTGTCAGGCATGGCTTCGAGAAGGCCGTACGCAAAGAGCAAGGGGCACCTGGACGCCGCCGTAGAACAAACAGACCGTGAAGATCGCCGCCTAAGATTATTGGCCTTAAGGGACCGTTTCTCCACTACCAGGTCCATTGCAAATGAATGGTTTGCAGAACACGGAAGACCTATTGGCATGCGAAGTGTTTACCGACG